GTTCATCACTGACTCCAACGCTCCAATGTTGTCACTGCCACATGGAATGCCAGTTTCCCTTCTGACCATCTGGAATTTCCCTTTGAGGTCCCCTTCAATGTCCCTGTTTCCTAGAGCCTGCCATCATCTAGATCTTTCTGACTTCAGTCTTGAACGCTTCTTATCCATTCATCGTCTGATCACTTATTACTTATAAAGAACGGTGCCATGGAGGAGAGCCAAACATGTACCAGGCTTACACCTAACCACACAAATTAGAGTCTAGCACAGTTACTAAAAGCCAGGTGCCAGATGGATGAATAAGAAAACCATTCATAAGGTCTACTTCAACACTTTGTTTGTGTTGGTCCTGCCACGTGAAGTGCCTATTTGCCTTTCTGAATATTCAGAACTTGCCTTAATAGATCAGGATGTTACTATTCCCCTGAATAGTCAGTCAAGATTTGAATAAAAGAATTTTTAAAAACCTGGTACCTGGCTTCTGCTCCCTTTTCATTCAGGGTCAGTATTTGTTAGCTTTCTGATACTGTAGTAAAACCATAGGTATAAATACCTTATATGGAGAGAAGAGGGTTTTGGACCTGAAGCTTTAAGGATTCCAGTTCATTATCATGTGATATCACATCTGTAGGTCTGTGGCAAGGCAGCACATCATGGTTGGAGCACATGGTAGAATAGAACTGCTTTGCTGAGAAATAATCAGGAAGAGGAAGGAGCTGCAGTCGCATAAACCCCTTCAAAGTTATGCCCACAATAACCTAAAGACCACCTATGTAGCTCTACATGCTAAATGTCCATGGAAAACTTCCAATAGGATCACCCTGGGACTAAACCTTTAACATATGCATCTTTGGGAGGCATTCAACATCCAAACGCCAGCAGTATAGAAAATAGCCTGCTCTTCTCCCCCAGGCCTTCCTGTATCACGCACACTTTAGAAGGACAGTATTGTAAATGAGTTGGATCTGAATGGCCGTGTCAAGGGACTGTAAGACCATCCTCCTGTCAGGTATCTCACTAGGAGGCCTCACAAGTCAGCAGATGACCTTACCACCCTTGCTGATGATTTATTTCAGTGAAAGGATACAGAGCAGAGTCAGCGGAGGAGGAAAGCAGCTGATGGAGCAAAGTGCAGGCACACCAGGTGCACACTTGCAGAATGCTCTCTTCCCATGTCATGTGCTGCCTTAAATTGCTCCAGCATGGACCTATGACTGCAAGGGTTGAGTGAGGAAGCTCACTGGAGACTAGCCACATGGGTGTCCTCTGCCTGACATGTACCCAGACGGAACACAGGTACTCATTACTGCACACCTTGCTTATGCAGATAGTTTGGATATAGCCAGCTCTCCTAGTCAACCAGGGGTCAAGAACCCTGCCTGAGACTCCAAGGTCTGATCCTGCGCACAGGCCTTCTTAGGGAGACCATCTTTGGCCAGTGTCATTCTCCAGTGTTAATCTGAGTTTTACACGAGGAGAAATGCTTTCTCTCTCCTAACATGCTTTAAGTGCTTCATCAGTTGGGGGTGGAATAGTAATGAGGGGAGAGAAAGGTCTGAAAGAAATTTGTGTGAGAGCAAGCCACGGCAGAATGTGAGTGTCCTCCACTCTTTCTCCCTGCACTCTGTGCCCGGGCTTTTGCCTCCTGTGGCAAGTACTGAGGCTCTGGCAGAGCAAGGATCAGGGAGATTTCCTGAGCTACCTGGCCCTAGTGTAGAAAATTCAAGGGGAAGTTTGGCTCCCTGACCACCCCATCCATACCCTACCTCCTGTGTGGTCTTAGGTATTTGAACTCCACAGCTCACGTTGTTCCTTTCTACAGAAATTGAAGCTCAGGAGATAGAGATCTAGCCTCACTCTCCTCTGCTCTGTACAAGCCACAGCTCCAGTCACCTGCCCTTATGGGGCAGCTGTCAAGAGGAAGCTGCAGGCTTGGCGTTGAGCTTATCTTAGCATTTGTAGTCTAATGCAAGTGCATTCCCACCTGGATGTCCCAGAAGGCTGTGCCTGCCTATCCTGGTACAGGATACAAGTTCATACTGACTAAGGAGAAAGCTCATGTGACTAGGGAAGGATGGTCTTGTCTCTCTTCTGGGATGGTTGTGGGATGAAAGAGGATGCCATATAATATGGACTCAAAGATGCACCTGCTCACCCTTGTCTCCTGTTAGTGCTTGTCAATGAAAGTCCTGTCTTATGACTGATCCTGTACTAAAAATGAACTGCATGCAGCCTTGCCTTTCTTGGTGATCCATTTAATAGTGGGCACCTCAAAAATCAGTGATTTCCTAGGTAAAATACAAAGTACAAATCACTTTGTACCAGTGCCTGGCAGCAAGTTTGGTTCTTGCCATTGTCTGTGTTGTTTTCAGGAAGATGTGAGAGGCTAGCCAAGAATGCCATAAGATGTACAACATATAAATGGTCTTTACACTTTTAAATAGTTGAGACAACGTGAGAAATTATTGTTTTGCGACCCATAAAAACAAATTAAGTTTAAATACATGTGCCACAATAAAGTTGAACCCAGCTTTGCCCATTTGCTTACCGGTAGCCAGTGGTGTCTTTAACTCTGCAGCAGTAGAGCTGAGTGGCCACTAAGAAACCATGTGGCCCAGCACACTTAAAATATTTGCTGTTTGGCTATTTCAGGAAAAGCTTGCCAACTCCCCACTTAGTGCTCAGCACTGTGACTTGTGTCCTTCTGAGGCAAGAGGCCTTCCCGTTTGTCTTTTTCCCTTCCACACTTTATGGGTACTCAAGTGAGTGATTGCTAAATTAATTTCTGCCGTCGTTTCTAAGTCCAAAAAGTAAATCTCAACTCATGATGGTTACCATGGCACCAGATAAACATCAAAATGAAATGCTCATCGGCAAAAGGAGAAGAAACTGACTCTCCAAGACACTCTTCCAAACAAGTTCATATTTGGATTGCAGTATCTGTCAAGGAGCAAATAAAATAAGTCACTGTAAAGAGTAAGGTCACATCCCCTGGAATGGCTGAGTGGGCAAAAGCTTCTCCGGTGGGAGATATTTTCCAGAAACTGAACAATAGTTCCTGCTTATCTTGGAAGGACTGATGAGCACACAGGACCACACACAGACAGCAGGGGCCCAGCATATATGTGGAGAAGAGAGCCTGTGATTGCTTTGAAAGCCTTGCTGGTTTCCAGAGACCCATCAGGCTATTGAAATTAAACTACAGCTGACATTTTCTCTACCTTAAATGTTTTCAAGGCAGATAAGCATAGGTGTGTTCAAGGTCATGGTGAAGGCTTACTCAGCCTGGAGGTGGAGTCAGCCTTGGGTAAAGGCAGCCACGGTTAAGTGAGAGTTGTTGAGGTGAGCATGAGTCGGGGGACTTTGGGCGGGAAGGAGCAGCCCTTCAGGCTCCGGTGGGTGCCTTGTGCATGTGTAGCTGGGCAGCCGTGGATGAACACTGCCAGCCATGGCTACGGGCCTGCTCTTCCTCAGTGTCTGGAGTGTCTACCTGGAGCTTCAGGATGCCCATAGGGAAGAAACTGCATACCAAGTTGAAGTGAGACTCACATTTCCTCCAAGTCCAGGATCAAAGATCTCCAAAATTTATTTAGAACATTTTCATTATATCACCAAATGATTTCTCTTTTAAGTCCCAAAAAAAGCATAATTTTTAAAAGTTTTTGGTTTTGCCTTCTTAGATGTGGCTGGCCACCTTTAATTTCATAAAAATCAATGGAAAAATAAGTGTAATAGAAAACAGTATTTCCAACTGAAGCCTTTAAAGAATAAGAAGTGTTGCCCTGTGATTCCCCACTTGGAGAGACTGAAACAAGGAGGGTCACAAGTTCAAGACAAACCTGGACAACTTGGCAAGACTCAAAGTAAAAAGTAAAACAGGGACAGGTTGGGCTCATTTACAGAGTGCCTGTGGGTGCTGGGAATTGAACTCAGGAGCTCTGGAAGAGCAGCAGCATTTAACTGCTGCGCCATCTCTCCAGGCCCAGACGGAATCCAGACAGCTGTGAGCTGTCATTGGGTGCTGGGAATAGAACTCAGGAGCTCTGGAAGAGCATCCAGTACTCTTAACCACTAAGCATCTCTCCAATCCCAAAGGAATTTTTCACAAGAAAAATCATTCTCAAGATTTGTCTAAAACCATCTCTAGCACCAGCAAGATGGCTCAGCCAGTAAAGGTACTTGCTTGACAAACTGAGTTCAATCCCTGGGACCTGCATTATAGAAGAGACCCTTTATTTTATCCTTTGACCTCCACATACAAACTCTCTCTAAATAAAATGTAATAATCTCATTAATTCTTTAATATGAAAATAGAAGTAGGATTTCTACCACCCCCATGAAGCATTTCAAACCTCTTTGGGTTAAAATGTGTTTTGGACTACACCAGATCCCTTGAAAAAAGAAAGTGACTTCTTTTTTGGGGGGGAGGATTTTTGAGACAGGGTTTCTCTGTGGCTTTGGAGACTGTCCTGGAACTAGCTTTTGTAGACCAGGCTGGCTTCGAAATCACAGAGATCCGCCTGCCTCTGCCTCCCGAGTGCTGGGATTAAAGGTGTGCTCCACCACCACTGGCAAAATGTGACTTCTTAGTGAGAGTCTAAGTGTATGTTTATACCATTATTACTAGTAAGCATGTTATACATGGACTTCAGAAAAATACTTGCCTTGAGCACAGCGTAGGAGAGAAGAGGAGAGAAGTTCCAGGAGGTGCTAGTGATTAAATACTAAAGCCACAGTTCTGTGTAGCCATCTGTTTTGACCCTCTCGGTGTAATTAGAGACTCAGCAGAGTGGCCCAAAAGAATTCACATGGTTTCCACCCAGTGCCTCTGCCTGGGAATGTCCCCATGTATCTTTAGACGACATGCTTGAAGGAAGCTGGAGGATTATCTCCTAAGCTGAATTATTCATGCACTATTAAGAAGGAAAAAATATTTTCTTAAAAAAAGATATAAGCCTCCTACTATAGTGACAGAATTAAGTTAAAAATAGAGTCAGTACTGGGAAAGACCATAGACTTTTAATTAGCTCAGCTGTGAGTGGGTCAGGTGTATCTGCAGGTCTGGCTCAGTGGGAGGACAGTGCTGCTTTTCCATGAGCTTCTTCGGTCCCAGCAGCATTCATCTAGGAAACAAACGGTTGCTTCTGGGCCTTGCTGGCCTTCCACTTTTGCCTGCATTTCCCTCCCCCCCCCCCCTCTCAGCCCCACCCCCACCCTTCTTGTCCCTCAGTCCCTCCCACAGAAAGGGAAACGGGTCTCTCCATCTATTGTAATCCTTTTGTATAACTTACTGCATTGAAACTTTTGGTTTCATTTCTCCGAAAATTACAGTTAAATCGTCTATCCTTGACTTTTTTTCAGCTTCTAATCTGACCCACTTTATTTTGAAATTTAACTACTTTGACAGAAATTAAAGGGCCTTTATGCAAGAGTATTTCTGGGTTACAGACCTCTTCTAGAATTTGACAAAAACCATGAGTCCTTCCCCAGGGAGAAAAAAAGGGCCATCCTATGTACCCACGCATATAGCATTATAGAATTACACCTGTAGCCCCCCCACTTTGAAGTTATGTGGTGGCTATGGTTTGAATGTATCTCCCAGAAATTTATCTTCCAGTTAGAAAGCTAATCTCCAAATTCATATATTAGTAGTGTTTGGTAGATGGGGGCTTTGGGAAGTGGTAGGGTTAGATGAGGTCATGAGAATGGGTCCCCATGATGACAATAGTGGCTTTATAAGAAGAGAATCTTGGGGGCTGGAGAGATGGCTCAGAGGTTAAGAGCACTGGCTGGTCATCCAGAGGTCCTGAGTCCAATTCCCAGCAACCATATAGTGGCTCAAAACCATCTATAATAAGATCCCATACCCGCTTCTGGCATGCATGCCAGGACACTGTATGCACAATAAATAAATAAATCTTTTTAAAAAAAATAAAGAAGAGAATCATAGTGGTATCCTTGCTTTGCATCTCCATGTGATGCCCTCCACTACTTCCAAGAGCCCAAGGGCTTTGCCTGGTATTGAGCAGATGCCTCTGGGCAGTGCTGTTTTGGTTTCCAGACTTCAGAATCACGAGCCACATAAACTTCTCTTCCTTATAAATTACCCAGTTGCAGATAACAGCAAAATAAGTTAAGTACCAAGAGTGGCTGAAAAGCAACTGTGATTGAGTATGAGGAACAAAGACCTTACGGGAGCCTGACTTACAGTGTCACCAATGCTGGGATCACATGGAAGATACAGCATGAAGGGCCCAAGACAGGAGGACTCTGCCAGAATGTGAATGTCATTGAGTCCTTTGTCATTAGAAACAAGGATTCGGAAATTCAGAAAACTCTGTTGTTCAATAGAACGGGAAATAGGTTCACATTTGTGATTTTCCCAACCTAGAAGGCTCTCCACCCTTCAGCTTGACCTCACTCAAACACAGGTTCTTCTTGGTTTGCTAGCAACAATTCAGTGAGCTGTAAATTTCCTATGGAGACTGAGAAAGATGTGTCTTGACCTAGTGTAACACCTAGTCAGAGCCTCATAGAACTTGGTGCCTGTTTTTTGGGTTGTTTTTTATTTCATGATATATAAAAAACAAAAGTGGGTATCATGTAGATTTGAGTCCCTGTCAGCACAGCTTTGGAAATGGAAGGGAGTAAATTCCTTTTCATTTTATGTGACTGATCTCAAGTGCCAATGCATAGTCAGGAGCCCTTCAACACAGCAGACATTAGCATTTACATCTAGGCATTAAATTTTAAGTCCTTCTTCAGTCACCACTATGACATGGGCAACCTGACTTGCCTCCCTGGAGTTCAGTTTCATCATGGGAACACAAGTGCATCCCTGCAAGGACTGTTACAAGTCTATCCTATAAAACCATGTGGAAGATGTCTGATCCTCTCTTATCTTCAAGACCCTGTTCTTAAAGATATCCCAATCTTAATGGGATATCCAGGTAAGGATGAATACGCCAGGGCTGCAGGAAGGAAGGGAAATATAATCAGTGATATAAATATACATGCCACACCTCATATCAGCCAAGTGCAGAGTGTTCCTAATGTTCTTTGGAAGTTACAGTCAGTGACTACAGGAAGGCTCCAGGGGTATAGAGGACAGTCCTGGGTAGACATCCTCAGGATGAGGAATGCCACCTGCTGTAGCCTCAAGCACTGTGCTACCAGTGCTGCCTGCAATAGGCACTGATCAAGTGGGATTGCCAGTTTCATAGGTGGGTAGGATTGTATTCCCTGTGCTGTGCTCAGAGAACAAAGTAGGACTACATGCGGATCTGAACTCATTTCCTTGGCCTTTGAGCATCTGAAGATGAAAGGCTTTTAGTTGGCTGCACACACATACACACACACACACACACACACACACACACACACACAGAGGTAAGCCCATGGCAAAAGCTGGCCCAGTTACTATCTGCTAACCCCTACAGCCTGCACTTGCTTCCTCCCCTGAGTCTGGGGGTCTGCTGTGCTCACTGTGTGCTCTGCATCCTCTCCCTGGGAGAAGAACCCAGCTCCTGTTTCCTCTCTGCTCTAGGTAGTGAAAAGATGGCAAATAGTTGGGGGGCTCAGCCTGGCCAAGTTCCACTTTTGTATAGTCTTTTTATAAAAAGTAGCATGGGATTCTACCCCACTTATTTATCCTGATGCCATGAAGCCTACGTCCACCATAGAGCCCAGAAAGATCCTAGCCCTTGCCTGCTTAACAACACTTTGGATCTCCAAAAGTTTCCTCAGAGGTGTTTCGGTTCCTGATTAAAATATATATTAATTTGTTAAGTTTTTTTAAAAGTATAAAGATGAAAATGTTTAACTTGTAAATACAAGGCAAGGTAACCAACCCAGGTTATTTTTTTTTATCAGAAGACCTCACAGAGTCTTTAATTTACTAACAAGCCCACTTGTTTCAAGGAAGATGCATGGGATGGCTCCCATGTTTGCCCCAGGGTTCTGTGGTCTTTGGGTACAGCACATGCTTAGCAAACAGGACATTGCAGACTGTGGGTTTTCTGTGTCTGTAACTCCTGGACCAGCATATTCCCATATTCATTGTACAGACACCTTTGTGACTTATTGAGATGGTTGTGTTTCTCCTGGCCCCAGTGGTGTGATTCAACAGAGAATACGGAGAAACTAAACTATTGAGTATCTTCTTGGATCATGCAGGGTGTGCTGTTGGCAGCCTGTGCTTTGGAGTCTATTTTCAACAGAGAAAAAGGTGATATTGATATAAGGGCATGCTCTCTGGGCATTGACCCAGCCTGTGGAAGTGAGAAAGGAAATATTAATGTTAGCACACAGCTCCAAGGCTCATGGTTTTGGAGATGGACTTGGTAGCAGACAGGGCCACCACCTTCCCCAGCCTCCTGTCTGTGTGACCTCTCCCAGCTTTTAACTTCCTTCCGCTGGTTCTTACCTGGCTCGGCGATGCTGTTTGAGTCAGCCAAGTCCTGGGTGAAGAAAGATCTTGAGAGGACAGACTGTGTGTGAATAATCATCAACGCAGAGGGAATTCATCCAGCCTTTTAAAAAGTACAGAAGGGATGTAGAAATTCACAGACTTCAAAAAAGACCAGGTTTTGGGTCTCTATGGCTTCCTCCTCAACTGTGTTTTCCCTGTTTTCAAGAAGGGCAGTACAGAGCATGTTTCTTGTGACCTGTGCCATGTGACTTCTTTAGTTGAAAAACACTGACTTGAGGCATGTCTGGTCTCAATGATCTCAGAGCTCTGGTCCCACCTACCAGGCTCCTTACCAACAGCCTGACCTCAGGAAATCCTTCCTCTGCTTCACTGCTCCTGGGATCATGTCACCTGTCTGCACAGGTTTCAGTGGATGCACTTGCCTGGAGGAGGGGCCTGCCAGCACCTCTGCTGTGCTAGGCTGTCTCATGACCTTTTGTCTCCTAAGTAGCCAGGGCAATACATAGGTTCTCAATGAACGCAGGACAGAGATGTGCAGGGCAGGGCTGTGAGGGTTAACTGTAGATATGTCAAGTCCCTGAAGTGACCTCCCTCTTCTATGAGCCAGAGCCTGAAATCCAACCAGGAAGACATGGGCCCCTATTTTAAGCCACAAAGAGACATGACCCTTGAGAATGGCAGTACAGCCAACTCCACCTCTGTGTCCTGGAGATGGAGCCCACCTGACCCTCGTGTTTGTGTGGGACTCCTTTGGGAGTACAAGTGGGGCCTGAGCTTCTAAGAGCAAATCCTACCTACTTTTATTTTTCATTTTATGTTTTTAGAGGGGTAGAAAGGGCATAATGATTTTTATTACTAAAAGAATTAGAACATGAAATTTACCTGCTGAGCTCTCTCACTGGCAATCTGAGTTCAATCCCCAGAATCCACATAAAGAGAGATCTGACTCCTAGAAATTGTCCTCTGACCTTCACAAGTGCACACATGTGACATGCATGTGTACATATTCATATACATACATTATACACCCGTACACAGTAACAAAAGAAAAAGTATTGAATAGTCACTGAACTGTATACTCAGAAATGGTTAAGATGCCCTTTTTTTTCTTTTTATATTTATTTATTTATTTATGGTTTTTTGAGACAGGGTTTCTCTGTGGCTTTGGAGGCTGTCCTGGAACTAGCTCTTGTAGACCAGGCTGGTCTCGAACTCACAGAGATCCTCCTGCCTCTGCCTTCCAGTGCGCCATGACCACCCGGCAAGAGGCGCTTTTGAAAAGTACTCATTCTAGCAGTCTAGAGCAGTTTCTGATTCTGTGTTCCACACTCCCTTTTCAGTGCCCATCCTTTGCCCAGTAGAAATGGTTCATGGTCTACATGCGGCCTCTGTTTCTATATGACACTAAACCCTAAAGGAGTTCTTCTTTGTGCAATATGATAGCTGGGGCTCCCTGACCTAAGGGACTGTGGCCTGGTGGACATTAGAGGAATGACCTGTCATGAAGCTAGTGTAGAAACACGAGGCAGGGTGATTCCAGTGGTGCCATGCAACCAAACGCTCACACCGCAAGGACACTACAAAACTCCCTGCCTAGGGAGAGCCAGTCTCTAGCTCTTCTCACTTCCTTCTTCCTCTTCTTCTGGGGTTTGCATTCACAAGTGAAGTCAACTGTATTGGAGACTTTTCCTAATGGTTAGTAGGACATTTAATGTGCTATCCACCCGTTGGCTAATTTGTAAAATAACTGGCAGGGTATTACTGCCTTTAATGGAGCATTCCCAGCTGACCTGGGGGGCACATTCATCCCACCTGACCAAATTTCGTACTCTCTGGTCAGTGGGTCCCCTTCCCTGACCCCACCCCCTGCAGCTGCCATTGCACTCTGGTTCTATGACTCTGCATATTTTCAGGGGAATTACATAAGTAAAGTCATACTGTGTTTGCCTTCTAGGCTGTGGTATCTCACTAGGTATAATGTCCCAGCAGTTCATCCATGTGGCATAATCTCTTTCCCTGTTAAGCTGAATGCTACTTCACTGTGTGGTTTTGCACAATTTGGCTTATCTTCTCATCCAGTAAAGATGGTAGAGTTTCCATGCCAGCTATTGTGAGCAGCATAGTAAACATGGGACTACTCCATTCAGGGTCCTGACTTCATATCTTCTGGATATAAACTCAGAAATGGGATTTCTGAATCCTATAACAATTCTCTTTTTATCTTTAATTTTCAAGTAACAACTGCATTGCTTTCTATAATGGTTTCCATTTGTAGCCCAGCATTGGTTAGGTTTGCTTCCACGACTCTGGCTGGTCTCTGGCCTCTGCATAGGCCTTCCTTGCTTCTGCTGAGATGTCACTTTTCCTGCCCACACCACCCTCTGGAAAGACTGTGTGGTACTGACCTTCTCTTAGGGCTAAAGTTCAAGTGTTATTTTCTTGGTAATGTCCTTCCCTGGGTCTGGTCCCTCCTTTGTGTTTCTGAACACAAAGCTCACACACCAGCCTTTCTTATTGCTGCCCTTGAGGCCAGAAAAGTGGATTGGTCAGCTTGCCATCTCCACAACATAAGGCTATGCATACTCTACTTGGAATGAGTGCATGGGAGGCCTTTGTCATATGCTTCCTTCTGCTTGTAGTTATTAGTCACTATTCATTGTGTCCTGCTAGCCAAGGGACAAGACGGCATGGAAATAAGAACATTCGTGTTGGTAACTGAGAGGGTTCTTTCCAAAATTTTTGTTCGGACATGCCTTAAGTGTCTTTTTGCTACTTAGAAAGACATAAGCCAAGTACAGAGAATTCAGAAGTTAAGGCCCACGTGTTAACTCATCAGGTAAAAAGTCAGGGGAAGAATACCTCCTGTGTTTGAAGTGACAGCCTTTCTCCTGTCGCAAAAGCCACAAGCTTTTACAAAAAGGAGGAGGAGGAGAACAAAGGGGTCCAGATAATTATTAGCAGATTTTCCAGGGCTGTGAAGAGTCCTCCAGCTGACTCTTTGCTCTGGGGCCTTTATAGTACCCTTGACCTTGTTTAAGGTAAAGGAATGTTTGTTTGGTGAAAGCAATGGTAGGAGTTCCCATAATGACACTGAAGTGTCGCTGGGTTTTGAGGCTCTGGAGTGTGATGTAGGCACTGAAGCCCTGTGAACTTTCTCACCGGTGCCTGCTTTGGGTCTTGCTTCCCATTTTCCTCTACTCCCCCTTTCAGGTGGGTCACTAGACTTGCTTACACTACAGATGCCTGTGTGACCCAGTCTGGGTCCAGGAACTGGCACCTCTGGTAGAAGTACTCTGCACATCACGGTGACATGAACTTCCCTTTGAAGGTGCCACTTCCCATCTTGGAAATGGAGATAGCACCTGATATCTTTATTTATAGGTTCTGTGAGGGCTTCTGAAGTGAGACATCTATCTACATATGCTTTGAAAGTCCTGGGTGTGATTTGTGCCGATGAGAGATGCTTTTTTGACATTTTGGACAGATTTCAAAACCAGAGGGCCAAGCAAGTCCACCCTCACTCGTGAGCCCATGAGGAGGCGGACACAATAGTCACAACAAAGGGCTTCAGGCATGGGAAGTCCAGTTCCAAGATAAAGTCCTCTGTGCCCCACCCTGAAGGGCTGCCCAGGGTAGAGAAGCTGGTTAGAGTGGCTCTCGGGCCAAGTGTAGGGTCAACTCAGTTTACAGCCGTCAATGAGGAAGTGCAAGGCTGCCAAACCCCAGTGTGATTTCCCCTTCCCTGGGCAAAGGTCAGTGCCGTCTCTGACAGGGCCGTCCTCACTAGTCTTGAAGACATAGGCATGGACATTGTCATATGATCCTATTCTGACAGCTGTGCACTCTATGGCCATTTCCTTTTGAGTGGCCTCAGTCGTCAAGAACCTGGAGGCTCAAATCAGAACAACTCTGAGATTCCATCTTACACTGATCAGAATGGATAATATCAAAAACACCAATGACAGCTTATGCTGGAGAGGATGTGGAGAAATGGAAACACTCCTCCATTACTGGGGGGAGTACAAACTTGTACAGCCACTGTAGAAATCAGTATGGCGATTTCTCAGAAAATTAGGGGTCAACCTACCTCAAGACCCTGCAATACCACTATTGGGCATATACCCAAAGGAGGCACATTCACACCACAAGGACATTTGCTCAACTATGTTTATAGCAACATTATTCGTAATATCCAGATCTTGGAAGCAACCTAGATGCCCCTCAACTGAAGAATGGATAAAGAAAATGTGGTACATTTACACAATGGAGTACTACTCAGCAGTAAGAAAAAAATGACATCCTAAAATTCTCAGACAAAAGGACAGAACTAAAAAAAACAATCCATCCTGAGTGAGGGAACCCAGACCCGGAATGATGAATATAGTATGTACTCACTCATAAGTGGATACCAGACATAAAGCAAAAGATACCCAGGCTACAATCCACAATCCAGAGAAGCTAGAACCCTCTTCCAGAAACAGATGGAAGCAGATGCAGAAATCACAACTAACCAATGGGCCAAGTTCCTGGAGTACAATTGAAGTGAGGGGGGGAGCAATAATATGAACAAAGGAGTCAAGACCAAGATGGGAAAGCCCACAGAATCAACTGACCCAAGCTAGAGATCACTGACTCAGGTCTCACAAATGGGGAACCTGAGTAAGACCAAACTAGACTCTCTTAATATAGGTGACAATGCTGTGACAATATATGAGGCCACTGGCAGTGGGTCTAAGATCTAACACTAATGCACAAACTGAACTAGTGGAGCCCATTCTATAAGGAGAGATACCTAGCCCAGGTTAGACACAAGGATGTAGTGGGTGGAGAGGTACCTTGGTCCTGCCTCAATGAGATGATGGAACAGACTTAGTAGACCTCCTAGGGGGAGGCCTTAGCCTTTCCCAGGAGCAAATAGGGGGCAGGAAGGGGGAGTGGGGGAAGCAGGAGGAGAAGGACCTGAAGGCTGCTGTGTTTCAGGAAGGCTCTCCCAAGAAAGCCTCTGTTCTGATTTCCTTCATTGTTGACTATGGTGTATTTTGGGCATTGCATGTATCCATGTCTTACCCTGGGAAACAGGCTTATTAATACAGTCCAGCCCTCTGCCCTGTCTTCCAATCCTTCTCCTCTCCAGAAGCCACCACTTCTCCATTACCCTGTCCCAGTCCCATGATTTGCTTATAGTTTTTCCATATCTGTGATGGCCCCACATAGTGTCTAGAACTCTGAATTCTAATATGCTGCCTTTTAAAAAAAACTATACACAAATGGTGCCCACAGTATTTGTCCTTTTAAAAATGTTTTTATTTTCATTTTTTATTACTTTTAAAAAATTGTGTATGTGTGTTTACATGCATGCACGCACAAATGCATGCATAAACACTCATATGTATGCTACAGCACACGTCTGATGGGGGTCAGAGGACAATTGTGTGAGTCAGTGAGTCAGTTGTCTCCTTCTACCATGTGGGTCCTGGGGATTGAACTCAGGTTGTCAGG